TTCTATTAACATTACAGAATAGAACATGATCAATATTATCTTTCAACGTTCAATTTAAATAATTGTAATTGCACAAACTATGTAGGCTACAATTTCAATTTGTTTATTGTGAAATAACTCAAACATTTATGTTTTTTTTTCTGTTCTCTGATAAGCATTGTTCAGGACTGCCGTTCCCAAAAGCTTTAAAGCGGTCATATGATGCGATTTCAAGTTTTCCTTTTTCTTAATCATTTAATCCTGAATTCCACAGACTCAAATAGAAAGGCATTTGTTTGTGGTTAGTAAGATACATGTATAAAATGTATGCAGTACATGGATAATTGTGCGTGTATCTATTAATCATTTAGAGTCTAATATCATCCCATAGTTTTGCTCGAACTTTCTCCATGGCTTTAGAGCTGGTACACCGTTGTCGCTTGCGAAAACAATAAAGGCGCCGGTAGAAACTTACAGATTAAGGGGCGGTAATATTATAACGAGATACCTTTTCTATGTCACCAAGGAAGCAAAATCAGACGCACTCGTTTTTTCATATGCTTGCAGAAAAAGGCTTCCCAAAACAAAGTTACTGGGTTGATCTTTTTCACATTACCTTGGTTGGTAGATGCACTGGGGACCTGATTATAGCACTTAAAACCTGGAAAAGTCAGATTTTCATGATAATGTTACCTTTAATATTGTCGAAAAATGTAAACTATATTATCGGTCAGTGATATATTAAAAGTTGTATATATAGTACATCCTAATTTACCTGCATACATACAGTATAGTCACATAAAGCTATACTACATAAATCTTTCTGAGTGTTCAAAATGTCAAGTTTTTAAAAAATGTTTTCAAAACTTTTTTTTTTTTTTTTGGTTAGGCATGTTAAGGGAACATTCCATTTTGTAAGCATTATGGGAATGTTACTTTTGAATGTTCCCCGAACAAGTAGTAACATTTAGATGAACATTCAACTAAAATGTTTTAGAAAACATTCCATGAACGATGTATAAATAACCCTTTTATTTTAACGTATGGGAACATTATTAAAGACCAGATATCTCTGAACAAACATTCTCTTAACGTTAGTGGAAGAATGTTTGTTCATAACTTTGAGAGAAGACTGTTTGGAGAATGTTCCCTGTAAGCTAGGACTATAAGGCATGAAAATATGAAGATATTATAAACATCAACAACATCTTGCTTTTCTGTAAAGTTGCTTTGAAACAATGAGGACTGTGAAAAGTGCTATACAAATGAATTTCACTTGACTTGAATATTCTTGATGAATCAAACTTTGACTTTCATTTCTGCCTCAGGTTTAGAACAGGAAAACAGAACATCCTCAGGACTTTCCGTAGTCTAAACCTACTACTACAACTTACTACTACTATTAGTTTTTTTTTACATAATTAAGCCCACTTTCCTATGTGTCTTTTTCACGTAGTGAGGATGCACCATCACCACCAACTCCACCCATCGTCATCAACAGATACTGTGATGACCAGCTGCGAGACATCGTGAAGAAACTACGGGAGAGGACAGAGCTTTTTAAGGAGAAAGTCATAGACCCCTACTCCTCGTCCCCCGAGCGCAGCCCACCCGTCAGTGAGTACTACAAACGCATCCAAAGTCTCACTGAATCCTGCTGTTTGATGGACAAGATATATCAATACTGTAATCTAGGAGGTGTTTCTCATTTTTTGTTCCTCAAGGACTTGTAATCTTAACATTTTTAACAGTTTGACTAATTTACCCTGCTGGAAGAACCAGGTCATTCTAGCTTAAGGTGGTCAAGGTGGTTTTTGGAAAATATAGCTGGTTTGTTGCTGTCTACCAGATCAAAACCAGCTGCTAGTCCTTCTTATTCTTAATGAGGCTCAGAGGTGGCATGAGTGCAATTAAATTCATAAATTCATGTGGAGATTAATGTTTTAAATATAAAATTTTGAATACAGAAATATGATTAAAATAACTGAAAAATGAAACTAATCCACCAGCAGGTGGTGGCAAGTCACTGATTTTATCACTGAATCATTCATTCAATTGATTCGTTCGAACGGCTGAATCATTCAGGAATGAAGCAAGTGAGTGTCTTTATGAACTGACGGAAATCTGTCGTAGTGACGGAACTTTAATCCCTGTACTTATTTCGACGTGTAAATCTATTTTCATAAGGTGGCAGCAGCAGCTGTGTGTTCGACTTGAAGCAGAGGGATCAATATATGACGTCAAAATACCGCGAGAGTGACTTGCAACTTATTTACGTCTGTCAAAAATAGGCGAGGCGCCTATCTTTAGCGAAGCAGTGATGAGAGTCGCTTCTGGGACGCTTCTGAATCGTGGCACGGCGCGGATGGTATAAACACAAGCATTGACTAGAGTGGCCACGATCAGCTCCGGTGGAATGTAAAAAATGGGGTAAGAGTGTGTGCTCGAACATGCTCTAGAACCAATCTCGTGATACTTTGATGTCATACACCGATCAGTCTGCGCAGTGCTGCTTCAAGTCGAACACACCTATTGGGTTTGTGGTGTTGTTGTTGTGCACGCTAGGGAACGTATATCCACCATACGTCATTGCATCGCTATATCATTGATATCGTGATATGACACTTTTTTCGTCATGTAAAAATTTATACCGGTATTATCGTGGACGGTATGATATGGCACACCCCTAATCTACACCAGCTTGGACCATCTAATGATTATAAATGACCAATTTTATCCAGCAAAAAAACATGAAAAACTAGCTCCCACCTGGATTTTCCAGCAGGGAATCCATTCATCTGTTTGTACTCTTCTAAACTTTAGTCTACTTGTTGATATTCAGCACCGGTTTACCGAAAGGAAGACTGGATCAGAAAGCAGGAAGCGGAGAGAATAAAACGAGAAGAGGCCGAGCAGAAGAAAAAAGAGGAGGATGCCAAGAAAGTGGCGGCGAAGAAAGAAAAAGAGGAGAAAGAAAAGAAGGAGAAAGAGGAAAAGCTGAAAGCCGAGAAGGAGAAGGAGAAGGAGAAGGAGAAGGAGAAGGCCAAGAAGGAGGCGGCTGAAGCCATCTGCCCAAAAATCAAATGCACCTGCACAGACACACTTCTCAAACCTTTCGAAGACAAGATGGACGCATATTTGGGGACAACCATTGACCCTTTCACAGGTAGGACACTATGAGAACTGAAGATGCCTCTTGGAGTACAAAACATTGGCCTACACATGTTTGTTCTTCCTTCCAGATCGGCGGTATATTAAATGGCTGAATGTCGTCACAGTCGCTTTTAACTACAACGTTTGGCTGGCCACGGCACGTTTGTGTTTCCCGTACCACACGCCTGTGACCATCCCCTTCTGGATCTTTTTTGATATCCTGGCAGACCTTGTGAACATCATAGATATCACCATGTTTCAGCCACGCTTACAGTTTGTGAAAGCAGGAGACATCATAGTAAGTGAATCTTGGTGTAGACACTTAAGACTTTTGGAATTGTGACAATAGGACGTCCACTCAAAAACCTACAAATTTATTTCCTCAGAAAGACAGAATAATGGCAAAACAGAGGTACAGGGAATCTGCCAGATTTCAGGTGTGTACAAATTAGGCCTATATATAATTATATTAAAAAAAAATTAAATGTGTATATTTAAAAAAATATATATATTTATTTTATTTTGATAATATTTCTCTCAACAGACAGACCTGATAGGCATAATACCATTTGATTTGCTGTGTTTCCACTTTGGGTTTACATCGATCTTTAGGATAAACCGGTTTATACGGGTCAGTTACTCAACTTCTCCAGCCCAATAAATTTTCTTTAATTCTGATTTTTTTTAAACAAGTGTTATTTTAGTATTATGTATATCTGAAATTCATTTTATTCAATTGATTTTCAGTTTATTTTTAGCCTTAAAAATAGCTTTAATTTAATTTGTCATTTCTTTATTTGGTTTTTTCATTTCAGTTTTAGTTTTATTAATCTTACTCAACTTAAACTTATTTCAGTTCGTTGACAATTAAGGCAACATTTCTAATTAATTTTTTCATCTAATATTTGTTTTATTTTATTTTAGCTTTATTTCAATTCATGAAAATGATTTAATAGTTTTAGTTACCAATAACAGCAGTTCTACACTACTGTTTTTTACAGCTAGTACAACTGTATATTAGTATTTAGTGTACTGTGTAATGAGCTCTATTTAATGTACATATTCCGTCTTTCTTTTTAGTATCAATCATTTTTTGAGTTCAGCGATCGTCTGGAAAGCGTCATGGCTAAGGCGTATATTTGGAGGTATGTGTGATTTCTATATGCTAATCTACTATTCTGAGTGGCTTAGCATGTTGCTAGGTGGTTGCTTACTGACCCACCTCAATACTCTGATATTTTGGTCTTTGGATATGGTTCAGGTCCCTCCTTCAATATGCGTATGAGTCTTATCGCCTACCAGGTGAAAATCATAAGTCTGACTGCTTAGTAAGCCATAGCAACAAGTTTGAGGCACAACAATTTGAGGTATCATGATAAGCAAATGGCAAAGGTTAGGGGTGTGTTTAAATCCATATCTGTATGTATGAGCGATAATAATAATAGTCATGCTGGACTTTTTCTTTTTTTTAGAGTTGGCCGCACTACTGGATATCTGCTCTTCTGTCTCCATTTAAACTCCTGCCTTTACTATGTAGCATCAGAATACGAAGGGCTGGGCAGCACTAAATGGACATATGATGGAAAAGGAAATGCGTATGAAGTATTTTTTTTCTTTTCTTTCGCCATTATTTCATATATTTCATAAATGGTAGCTCTTTATAAATATATTTAATTTAAAATTGAATTACAATGTTATACTTAATTATTAAATTATACTATATAATTATTTTTTTAATTTGTATTATTTACACTTTAAAAAATCAATACATTTAAATATATTCAAAATAAAATATTAATAAATAAATAAATATTGTACTGATAACATTTTTGTCATTTTTCTTTTCCAAGGTATCTCCCCTGTTATTACTTTGCGACTCGCACGCTGATCACTATCGGAGGTCTCCCCGAGCCCCATACGCTCTTTGAGATCGTCTTCCAGCTGGTGAACTTCTTCACAGGAGTCTTTGTCTTCTCTAGCTTGATTGGACAGGTAAGTAAATTAATACGTATAACACATGACCCAGAATAATAACTTCACAGCACTGATCAAAATCTGTTTAAACCCAGATGAGAGATGTCATTGGAGCAGCTACGGCAGGTCAGACCTACTTCCGCGCCTCTATGGACTCCTGTGTGGCGTATATGAACACCTACACCATCCCAAAGCAGGTGCAGAACAGAGTACGCACCTGGTACAACTACACCTGGGACTCCCAGGGCATGCTGGGTAAGAGTAATTCTTAATAGAAGTGCTCTATTAATACAGCTAGCTTTGGAATGATCGTTTATACAGTTACAATAAATCTAAACAGATGCAAATTTTTATAGATCAAAATGCAAAAATGTTTGTTTTTATGCAGATGAATCGGAGTTATTAGAAAAGATGCCTCTGGTCATGAGAACAGCCATCGCTGTGGACATCAACCTCACCACCTTCCAGAAGATTGACCTCTTCAAGGTAAAACTTAATATTGTCAGTGAAATATATAAAGTAAAATAAAGTAAAAAAAATGAGCTAATATTGACGTTTTATGGAGTGTTGCATGTGGGTCAAAGAGGAAACGTCCCATTTTGGTGTCCGCATTAAATTAACTTTAGTGATTTTATATGCAAAAAAAGCATATTAAATGCAAGTAAACAGTCTACTTTAATGTTTTAAATAACTTTTGTGAAAATAAAATGCTAAAATATTGGTTAAATAATGTTCCATTGTCATTCAGCGTAACTTAATATTCGGAACTGTACTTAAAATATATAAAAGAAAACGTGATCATACTTATACTGACAAAGGGGTAAAACCTAGTGTTTTGAAGGATTGGTAAAGGTTTAAATTTACAATTAATTAGTTACTATTAATTAGTTATGGGAAAAATTTAAGCTGTTTCTTTTATTGTTTTGATGCTTCAACCCAGCAGGATTTTTCCATTAAGCTTTGGATTATTACATATTACATCATTGGCTTCTGGATTATTACACAAAATAAGCTCTGTGACCAAAAGTTTATGATTCTTACACATTTTGTTCATCATGATAATATTCACAAATTAATACAACTTTTATGTGTTTTGAAGCCTAAATATAATGTATAAAAAAAAAAGCTAAACGTAGTTACACCACGTTCTCATGACAGTTTCTGACAACAATTTCGGTCTTTACTCTTTAGTTAAAAAAAGTAAAAGAATTATAAACAGTTAAGCTGTGAACGCGACTAGTGAGTAAATGAGTTTACCTGATGACGTTTAATGTCCAACCAGATGAAGTCCCATATAGCTCCTTGTTAGCAACTGCCTATGTCAAGATAAATATTTAATAGATATAAGCTATTTCAGGAATTTAACTAAACTCATTCAACTTCAAAACCCCATCGACTTCAGGACAATGGAAACAGAAGTGCTAAACCGCTAATTTTCAGGTTTTAGCAAGTAGCAACACTCTAAAAACTTGTGGGAAAACTCCACTGCCCACTACTGGTGGCATATGTTTAATCGATTCTGGTGCACTTTTATGACGTAAATCCGTGTTAGAATGATAAAAAGTATGAAAGAAAGAGAAAACAAGTGAGGGATTGATTTTGTTTCAAGTTTTTGCTATTTCAAACATATTTTTCTAGGGCTCTGACAACCAGATGCTTGTGGATATGTTACTGCATCTGAAATCCATTGTGTACTTGCCAGGAGACTTTGTGTGTAAGAAGGTGAGAACATCAAATATAATCATCCATGTATATCTGATATTATATTGACTGAACACAGTGATTCAGACAATTATCATGGGCAAATGTCTTCCATTGCTTCATGCAGGGTGACATTGGGAGAGAAATGTATATTATTAAAGCCGGAGAGGTGCAGGTCATCGGTGGACCGGACAATAAGATTGTGTTCGTGACTCTGAAAGCAGGCTGTGTGTTTGGAGAGATCAGGTACCTGACAGACGATCTATATAGGCTACTGTTCAAAAGTTTGGGGTCTATACATTTTTTAAACGTTTTTAAAAGAAGAATCTAACTGAGGCTGCATTTATTTGATCAAAAATACATTAAAAACAGTAATATAAAATATTATTGCAATTTTATTCACTTTTTAAATATAATTAATAATTTAATTTAATAACATGACTCTGAAAGCAGGCTGTGTGTTTGGAGAGATCAGGTACCTGACAGACGATCTATATAGGCTACTGTTCAAAAGTTTGGGGTCTATACATTTTTTAAACGTTTTTAAAAGAAGAATCTAACTGAGGCTGCATTTATTTGATCAAAAATACATTAAAAACAGTAATATTATAAAATATTATTGCAATTTTATTCAATTTTTAAATATAATTAATAATTTAATTTAATAACATTATATGTCTTTACTGTCACATCTCATCAAATTAATGCATCCTTGCTGAATAAAAGTATGAATTTCTTTAAAAAAAAGAAAAAAGAACAAGAATGTCTAAAAAAATTTTCTAAAACAAAAATGCATTTATTTTCAGTCTCTTACAGTCAGCAAAAGATGGAGGCAACAGAAGAACAGCAAATGTTGCTGCTCACGGATTCGCCAACCTTTTTGTACTGGATAAGAAAGAACTCAATGACATCCTGGTCCATTACCCTGAGTCTCAGAAAGTGCTGGCCAGGAAGGGACGGTGAGTCAGAGGGTCACGGTCGTGCAACATGCACCGTTTCTTCAAGAACAGATTTAATAGATAAATGCAGTAGCTACAATAAAAGATGATTCATTCTCTGCGTAGGAAACTGATGAAGGCCAAAGGCAAAGCTGCTCCTGTCAAAGATGAAGGAGAAAAGAAGAGATTGGCAATGTTTGGACAAAAACCACCCACTCCGAAAATGTTACGTGCTTTTGGAGGCTTTGGGAAAGGAGGATTACTGGAGAAACTCAGGGTGTGTGTGATGATCTGATGAGTGGTATAATGGTGCAAACACACATATGTAATAAAGATTAAACGTTTGCATACAAATAGTTGAGAGATCTGAAATAACAGTAACACTTCTCTTTCCTGCAGGCTCAAGCAGCAGAAAAAAAGGATTGAAAATTCCATCCATCCCATCACCTACACTTACAACTACCTAAAACATCTATTAATCCATCCACCCATTTCATCATCTATCCATCCATTTATCAATTACATCCATTCATCCATCCATTACATCATCCATCTATGAATGATAAAATGGGTGGATGGACTGATGGATGTTATAGATAGATATAGATTCATTCATTCAGATCTACAGAAATGTGATTAAAACTGTAAATACTGACTGTATGTTTCTGATTTGTAGTTGGTTTAGTGACATTCTTTTCAACTATAATTTTGAACTTATTAACTAACCTGTTCAGCACTTTATGCAGTGTCATGGTGGATGGGTTTCCTGGCCTTTGCATATTGTAAATAGGTCAATGTTTTTCATAAAATCAAAATCAAATATTTCATTGTCATCTTTATTTATTGCATCTTAATAATATTGCGAATAAATCATAAACAATCCACTTTTTGGTGTTTTATTTACTGTATGTGAAACAAGGCATGCTACAGGCACACAGATGCAAGACATTATCAGCAACTGCTGAGCTGACACATTACATTATAATGATACTGCATCTGATGAAACAAAATTAGTTTTATTTAAATTACATTTAAGACGATTTCATATATTCCTCTCAGCACTAATTATGTTAGTGTTGTTACAGTTACAGACATTGTGATTAAATGTAAAACAAACTAAACTTAATTTGCATCTTAAACAGTTAATACTGATTCAAAAAGCTGATTACCTTTGCATATTATTATTATATTTATGCATTGTGCATTCAGGCACATAACAGGATGACTGACCCATCCAGATGTCGGTATCGATGGCTTTCATCTGTACAGATTGAGATCTGAGCACCATTCCTCAGTGGCTTTAGCTTTATGTGCATTCTGCACAAAAATAAAACTTGGCAATATAAAAAGCTGCCACGTGATTTCCATAGAATTAAATCAAACATATATGCACATTTTTTTATCCACCTTATTCTTGCTGTAAGAGCGGGTGCAGCCATTTGTAATTTTTATGAGACTGGCTTCCGGTGCCATCCACGTCCAGCTATTTTTAGCTGTACAAAACAGCTAGTTTTGCTGCTTGATATTGCAAATTGGTGTGTCTAACCTTATTATTATAATGTATTATCTTAATTATGAACACACACATTTACTGCATGTTGTTATTCTTCTCGTTATTCCCCTACAGCGGCTAATGAACCGGAAGTCTCGCCCATAGGCTTACTTCCACGTTGAAGAATAAGGTGGATAGGAACTGCATATTATCATGAACATTAATGTGATCAATTTGAAATAATGCATTAGATATATGAAGAAATGGCTTTGTGAGGCACTGATTAAAAAACATATACAGATATAAAAATATAAGATGTAAAGAATGATAATGACATGAAAAATTAATGAGATAACGCTGACTGTAAACTATTTTGTAAAGAGTTAGTGGGAATGACACTGGAGATAAAACAAATGCCTTCATACCATTCGGTCATCTCACCTGCAACACTAACAAGGTTGACTTTAAACTTAAACTCCCTCCCAATTTTTTTTTTCAATAACTGATCATTTAGAGTAGGATACTTGAGTCCAAACAAGCTCTATAATAGACCGTTGCAAGATCATTTGACAGAAGAAAACATGTGAATGAATATAAAATGATTTTTTAAAAGTAAATAAAGGAATAACTGATATTGAAACCAACACAAACCACATGTATCTAGTGGTATATCTCTTTAAGGCCTAAAGTTAAATAAGTAGGTTGATGATGTCCAGTTGTGGAGTTGTATGCGGTATGAAGGAAGTCAACAAGTCCTTCAGTTCTGTGTCGGCCCATTTGGAGCGTCCACTGGAGTGTTTGACTTCGGAGGCGGGAGCTTCATCATGTTAAAGAAGGTGACGACCTGACCAGGAACCTCCGCCAGAACACACTTAGCGAGCTCCTCTTTAGGAGACTACAGAGAGAGAGAAAACGTTAGTCATCGTATTTCTGACTTTGAGCAGCAGAAGAAGGTCAGAGATGGTGAGAGGGGTTAAGCATCATAGTGTTAGTTACAAGACAGTGCAGACAACAGAAATCGTACGCTGCGCTCATGTCATATCATGTCAGCTATCGATTAGCTAATATTATACTATTATGAACATTTGGACTTGAACACTTGATCATTGTGACAAATGACACTTTTAGCGGTTACATTACCTATAATTTTTAGATAATATAATGTATAATATAGATTATATAATTTATAGCATATACATTATATAATTATTATATTCATATAATTATAAAATAGTAATAATAATAATAATAATGATGATACAATGTATCAGCAAAAAAATTATGTATAAGTTTTTAGACTGTTATGGTTTGTGATAGTAGCATTTTTATTATTTATATAGTATTATATTTATATTAATATATTTATTAATATTTTGAAGTAGCTTTTATTTTTATATTGTTAGTTTTCATGTTAATTTTAGTTTTAGTATTTCTGTTATGCACTCTTATCATTTTCATGCCCTGCTGTAAATTTTGACCAGTTGATGAAAAACAATATAATGTAATACAATGTAATATATGCAATATAATGTAATATAATATAATGTTATGAACATTTGGGTGTCTTCCACTTGATCATTGTGACAAATGTCTGGTTTTAGCAGTTATATTTGCCTACCTATAATTTTTAGATAATATATAATTTATAATAATAATATAGATTATATAATTTATATCATATACATTATATAACTATTAGGGATGTAATGATATCAAAATCTCACAATGCGCTAATATCACGATATGACGTCCACGATACGATATTTACTGCGATATTTAAAAAAAAAAGACAAATGAAGAATTGGAAAAAATTAAATTTTTGTACATTTTATAGTTAAATTATTCTATCTAATGCACTTTTGAGAGTTAAAAATGAAGAGCTCCAACCCATGTTCTTAACTAAGAAAACTTAAAGGGTTAGTTCACCCAAAAATGAAAATTAGCCCATGTTTGACTCACCCTCAAGGCATCCTAGGTGCATATGACTTTCTTCTTTCAGATGAATCCAATCGGAGTTATATTAAAAAAAATTGTCCTTGCTTTTCCAAGCTTTATAATGGCATGGGCAGGTGTTTTTGTTCAACAGTCCAAAAGTAGTCAAATAAAACACATCCATCCATATTAAAATGCGCATTACACGGCTCCGTGGGGAGAACAAAGGCCTCCTGTAGCGAATTGATGCGTTTTTGTAAAAAAAAAAAAATATATATCCATATTTAAAACGATATAAACAGTTTTGTGTAACTTCTGCTAACTGTTGTACGTGTGTTCCCGAGAGACTGCCTGATGTAGGCATAGCGCATGCGCGTGTGAGCCTCGCGAAAACCAACATTTGATTACAGAAACAAAGGAAGCAAAGTTTCCTTACTTTAGCAAAGGAAAACCAGTATCCTCTTGGCTTATATCGAAATACTCCTACATTTTTCTTTACAAATCCTGGTTTTGTACTTCTAATTCGTAACCGGCATTTTATTTTGTTCTCTCTCCTCCGCGCTCGTCACTAATCACCGGCGCGTGCGGTACACAGACGTCCTACGTCATCCGCCGGAAATGCTACCACCTACGTCAGTTAGCAGAAGTGAAAGAAAGGTGTATATATTGTTTTAACTATGGATATTTTTCTTATAAAAACACGTCAATTTGCTACAGGAGGCCTTTTATGCACCCCCTGGAGCCATGTGAGGCATATTTTATTATGGATGGATGCGCTTTAGTTGACTACTTTTGGACTGTTGAACAAAAACACCCACCCATGCATTATAAAGCAGAAGAAAGTCATATACACCTAGGATACCTTGAGAGTGAGTAAAACATGGGACTAATTTTCATTTTTGGGTGAACTAACCCTTCAAATCAGAAAAAAAATCAGTGAACTGACTTGTCCCTGAACTTTAAAGGGGACTCAAC